AATAGTTTTGAAATGTACCACCGTGACCAGTTATGCACATTAGGCAAGGTCTCCCCTGACTTCAATGTTTTAGAAAGTAGAAAGGTGCTCATCTCTGCCGTCACTCCACAAGACTTTGAGAATATAGATAAGTAACATTAATTCCTTGCCCTTAAAGTCAACAATTTATTGTAGAAATAGAAAAATGTGATAGGTTATCAGCCATCCATAAACCACTTCAGGAGTTCAATTAATTTATTTGAAATGCATCAACCTGAATGACAGTGATAATAATGATGAATAAACATGTGTCTATTCACTAACTTCTTAGCAGGTGCATGTCTTATCTGTTTACTCTGACAGTTCCTCAATCTAGATATCATTCAAAACAAAGCATTAAGAAAATAGGAGAATAAATAAATATGTCAAGTCTTTCTAGGAAATAAGTTTATAAAACCTGAAAAGATCAAATTTCAACCTACAAAATACATATGTGCTATAATATAAATTGATTATGAGTGATTCACTATTACATAACCAATATTATTCTAATCAGTACATTTGATGATATCTCCACAACCAGCCTCTCAGTTAAGTCATTATCACCAATACATATATGAACTGCTTGAATAAAAATATGTTTTGTATCATGCACAAAGTCACAGAGTTTGTAATATCAGTTTAATTATGAATCCTAGGAATGCCTATTTATAATTAACTTCTTTAATGTAATATAGACATAAGAGCTATCTTTTCATGAAAAACTACCATTTGATTAGTGACATCATGATTGTCATGGAGTTGACATAGCTGTCAGCCAGGGACAGGGTGCAGAGGAAGAATTACAGGGAGGTGTGCAGGTGGGAGTCAGAGCAGACGGCCAGGAAAATGAGCAGGTTCCCAAGCACGGTGACCAGGTACATGGACAGGAACAGCCCACAGAGGACGAATTGCAGTTCTACATCCTCAGAGAATTCCCGGATGAGGAATTCTGAGACACCTGTTAGATTTCTTGGTTTTCTATATCTTGGAAACTTTTTGAAAAGAAAAGAGATTTGGAAAAAAAGAAAACCAGGAAACCAAAACCACTGTGTCTTTGAGGCACAAATGATTCACAAGTTAGGTTTTCATATTATTGGACCACACAACTCAGCAACATTTCTCAGTTGTGACAAATCCTATTTTTTTTTTATTAAATCATAGATGTGTACATTAATACAGTTATGGGGTACAGTGGCTGTTTTATGTACAATTTGAAATATTTTCATCAACAGGTTAACATAGCCTTCATGTCATTTTCTTAGTTATTGGTGGGATCACGCCTATGGTACAAATCCTATTTCTTTAGAACTCTTTCATGATTCATTATGCTGTTATTCACTTCTTTCTGTCCACATATACTTTACAGATACTTGACTGACCAATGTTAGCTGCTAAATCTCTCATCACAGTAAAATACAACCTATTGTTCATATACAAAGTATAAAATTAGAAACTCCTTCCCCTTTTATGGAAAAAAATTCTGTTCTAAATAAAGGAAACTAAGAAGCAGTCAAGTATATCATATTTTGCTGTAATGTAGTGCTAAAAAATTGCCTTGTTTCAGAATATTTACAAACAATATACTCTAAGAAGGATCACATTAACTGAATATTAAATGAAAGTTGATAGTTCATAACCAGCAAATACTTTTGCATTCCAATTACACTCTATAACAGTGATTTTTTTCAACCACAGTGCCAAGGCACACTGGTGTGCCATGAGAGGATCTTAGATGTGTCACAAAAAAATTGAAAGGTCATTATTAAATTATTTTTGAAAGAAACTCAAAGCACAGTAGGTACATTCTTTTCTTAACTTTTTGATTTTTTATCAACATAATTTTAGTGTGCCATGGAAGTTTAACTATAGGTGCAAGTATGCTGTGAGATTAAAAAAAACGTTGAAAAACACTGCTCTAGAGAGCATTAAGTCTAATATATCACCTATATTTCTGTCTAACAAGGGTACAAGTGAACTTTTCTAGAACTAGAATGTAAATGTTTTGACACAATGACTATGCAAATGACATGAAATTTATGTCAACCATCTTGATGAAAGTATTTCAAAATGTATATGAAAACTCTACACTGTACCCCATGTTTGCATTAATGTATACAGCTATCATTTAAATAAAAAAAAAGAATATGATGGCATTTCAATACTCTCAGGTAAGTTGGGGATCCAAGGACAAGTTCGTAATTCATTCCTGTTCTCACTAGCTTTAGATTGACAAATAATCATGTGCTGAAGATTATCTTTTATGCTTACTTAAATGAATCTCCAGTGCTAAATTTTGCTCTCACTGAATTAAAGTGGTGTAATCCAAAACCACTATTACAGTTGTTAGGTATCTGATTTTACTTCAATACTGCAAAAGGTTCTCAACATGGGTGAACCTTAAAGATATTAAGGTAAGTGAAATAGACTAATCCAAAGGACAAATACAGGAACATTCCACATACATGGGGTCATGAGAGGAGTTAAAATCATGGAAAGAAAAAGTATAATGGCAGTTCCCAGGGTGAGGGAGATGAATAGGGAGTTTCTTTTATAAGTGAAGAGTTTCAGTTTTGTAAGATAATAAAATACTGAAGATGCAAGATGGTGATGGATGCACCAGAATGTCAATGTACTTACTCCATGGACTGTGCACTTGGCATAGTTGAATGCTAGATGTTTAGTATTTTCCATTCCATGTGAATCCATTTACATTTATAATTTTTATGTGGGCATGTGTTACATTTTATCACAATAACAAAAGTTTATAAAAGCAGGTGGCTCTTTACAAAAGGAAATGAAGGAGTGCAAAATACACACAAGCTTCCTGTTGAATAAAGAAAGATCCCAAAAGGTTCTCCGGTCATTCATCTTCTCTTTTCTTCCTGCATAAACAGGAGAAAGTCCTCAGAGCCTTGGGGTGACACAGACCAATTTGGCTAATGAGGAGCTCTGTGTGTGGAGCCCCCCATGCTGCACAGCAGTAGATAACCAGCCTGTGCCTCCAGTCCTAGGCCTAATGGTTCAGTCTATGGGGCTCCACACCTGCTTCTCCTTCTTCCACGTTCATCTGCAACAGATGACCCTGCCTTCCTGCCAGTCCTGAGGACAGAGTCTGAGCCTTCATGGTGCAACATCCGGAGAGAAACAGAGGATCTGCCCTCCATGACCATGCCCCTGCAGGGGGGAATTGCAGATCAGTGAGTACTGAGAGGCTGTTGGGAGGTTTCTTTCCTCACCATCAGGACAACAGGACAGGTTGGGTAGCCTGAGGGGAGGACATCAATGTGACAAATTTCACCCAGAGGACTGTGAATAATATAGTCTTTATTGCAGAAAAATGGAGAATTAAAACAGACACTTACACCAACAATTACAGAGGAAGGAATTTTAATTACCAGTGAGAACACATGAAATGAAAAGGCATGAAATGATGAGTTGCAAAGAACAGTTTTTTCCCAAACTCCTTTGCACCTTTTTTTTTCTTCAGTTCAATATCAGCTACATAGTTGTGGAAATGATTGCATTTCTCATACTCTGATTCTACTTTCCATAGACATCTCACCCAACATGGCAGACAACTAGACCCTCTAAACCAGCCATTCTCAACCTATGGATCGTGACCCACAGGAACTGTATTAAAGGGCCACAGCATTAGGAAGGTTGAATACCACTGTGTCTAAACAGTTCCCTAAACACTCCAAAATAATTCTGATGAAAATGAGAATGAAGGTGACAATAGCCACAACATCAAGAATCCACCCTGAGGGCTTTCTAAATGCCAGACTAGGAGTTATGACTTGTGTACAATGTTTTGTGTTAGTTTTGTAGTTCTCCCCATATTATCATATTATAAGTGTACACACTTTATTACAATTTCAGATTAATGTGAGGGTACAAATGATCAGACTACATTGTGTTTGTCAGGTAAAAACTGGCTATTATCAGTGTGGCTTCAACACAGTTGATACTTTCCCATCTTCACCTTCTCCAGGAATACCCCATAGAACTAGAGTCAAGATAACATAGCACCTGTTGCTGCCTCCATCTCAGATGCCTGGGCCCTAGAACTCTGCTTAATGGCATCTACCTTATTCCTTTATTCAGTATCCATGGCAGATATTTTGATAGGTATAAAAGAAGAGGGGGAAGGGGCAGGTAAATATTATTTCCTGGAGTCAGACACCCTTCACAGGTTCACATCATTCCAGTCTCCAATAAAATAAAGTAAAAGTCTTTTCTCTTTTTAATTATTATTTAATCATCCTTGTGGTCAGTGATGGCCTGTGATTATCTGCATTGAACAGAAGCTACCTATTGAAACTAAGAACCTACCCAAGCCACAAAAAGGAGTTATCTATAAAATATATTTTCCAAATACCTATGTGACTTAGAACATACTTCCATGAGTAAAGAAGGTTAGAAAACAATAGAGAGATTAAAACTCTAGAATAATAGACTTGTAAATATGTTTTCTGATTATCAACTGTCAACTGTAATTTGGTTTCCAGATACTGTGATCCTAACTCCTAGCAAGTGTTTATAAATATATTAAGTCAAGGGATTTGTAACACTGTATTAGAATAAAATGAGGTGTATTTGACTCCTTCTCAAGTTGCTTTTCATTAGAATGATTTTTTCTGGGAAAAAATACTTTCTTCTTCCATGTATTTTCTGAAAAATTAGGATATACATATTTCCTCTGATCATAGATTTGTTATCTTACATGTCCTTGTTCTTCTCACATTCCTCAGTGTCTCAAGGGTGTGAACAGAATGAGGTCACTAACAGAAATGTGTCTTGAGAGAGTTCCAAGGAGATTGAGTTTATCAAACTGAGAAATATTGCTGATGATACATAGTCCTGAAGTGTAAAACATTCGTCATTCATTGCTTGTAAATATAGTCACTGTGCTGGGTACTAGTTTCTTTGTTTTCTTTCTTCCAAATCTCCATTCTCCTCTCAACAGTTATCGAAGCTACACAGAACCACTAAATCTAACAGCAGTCTCAGAATTCCTCCTCCTAGGACTCTCTGAGGACCCAGAGCTGCAGCCCATCCTCCTGGGGCTGTTCCTGTTCATGTACCTGGTCACGGTGTTCAGGAACCTGCTCATCCTCCTGGCCGTCTGCTCTGACTCCCACCTCCACACCCCCATGTACTTCTTCCTCTCCACCCTATCCTTGGTAGACATCTGTTTAATCTCCACCACTGTCCCCAATATGATTATGGGCATCTAAACTCACAGCAGACTCATCTCCTATGGTGGCTGCCTGATGCAGATGTCTATTTTTGTGCTTTTTGTTTGTATGGATGGTTTGCTTCTGACCGTGATGGCCTATGACCGGTTTGTGGCCATCTGTCACCCCCTGCACTACCAGGTCATCATGAACCCATGCCTCTGTGGCTTCCTAGTTTTGGTGTCTTTTCTTCTTAGCCTTTTGGATTCCCAGCTGCACAATTTGATTGTCTTACAATGTACTCACTTTAAGGACATGAAACTTTCTACTTTCTTCTGTGAGCCCTCTCAACTCCTGAAACTTGCCTGTTCTGACACTTCCATCAATAACATAGTCCTGTATTTCTCTGGTGCCATGTCTGGTTTTCTTCCTGTCTCAGGGATCCTGTTCTCTTACTATAAAATTGTTTCCGCCATTCTGAGTGTCCCATCCCCAGGTGGGAAGTACAAAGCCTTCTCCACCTGTGGGTCTCACTTGTCAGTTGTCTGCTTATTTTATGCAACAGGCTTTATGGTGTACCTCAGTTCAGCTGTGTCACTCTCTCCCAGGAAGTATATGGTGTCCTCTGTGATGTACACTGTGGTCACCCCCATGCTAAACCCCTTTATCTATAGCCTGAGAAACAGGGACATTAAAAGTGTCCTGTTGAGGATGCAGAGACAAATAGCCCGATCTTGTTTATCTTTTCCATCCTTTTTTGTGTGTGGAGTGCAAAGGGCAGCAGAGTGAAATATCTACATCTTCAAATCTTGCCTCCTTGGTTGCTCTATTCCTGTTGCTTGATGGTTTTCATTGCTCTGCATGTTTCATGTTAAATACAGCTCCCTTCAGTATGTCTTTAGTAGACACATGTGAGTGTTCTGATCTCCTTTGTTCATCTAAAACATCATGGCTAAATCTAATATATGCAGAAAGCCTCCTTCAGTGTCTGAGCTAGGACCCTGGTATCCAGGTGAAATCACAGCTCTATTTTAATATATAGTTTAAGTCATTACTAAATGCCAGTAGGTTCTTTGAAACTGTGAGTTCAAGAAATGACATACAACAAGCAGGTCCTCAAGTAACATTATGATATCATGTACTTAGGATGTTTATGAGGGAATAAAATTGGTTTCATTAGAGATGATTTCACTTAATATCAGAGTTTCCATGAACCTACTAAGGACAACAAGTGAAGATTTAGTTTAGTTCAAAGTCATGTCACTTCCCACAGTTCATGTGTAATTTCCTTACAAATTTTATCTATGAAATCTACTTGGGCAGGTTATCCTTTTTGTCACTTAAAATTTTGACTTTGCATTGGTCAAAAGTGTGGACTTACCATATATAGCATTTTACCATATTTCGCTTATATGCATTCATAAAATGTAAATTGAAAGGAATGGTATGGTAAGATTATCCCTAAAACTTCACATTCAGACATTGGTCCTTTTTGTTACTTAACTTATTTTTAACATTTTTTTTATAAAGAAAATGGGGATGTATATAAATCCTGGCATTTAAAAATGAAATCTTGTCATTTGCAGCAGTGTGCATAGGAATTAGGGTTACTTTGTTGAGTGAAATAAAACTGAGACAAACAAGAAATTTGAAACATTGTCCTATGGAAGAGATAAAAAGTGAATCCAATGAGGTTAGTGAATAGAAGGTTGGTTACCAGAGGGTGGTAAAGGAAGTGGGGAGGTGGGGTTAGGAGAAGCTGGTTAAGAGATACAAAATACAATTAGAGTTCTTCATTAGAACAGCTGGTTTGGTTTGTATTCTTGCCTGAACTTCGGCTGGCCAACAAAGATATATTGGAGTTGCTTCAACTGCAATACCTAAAACAAATGCTTGAGAAATAAAGCTGAATATGCCTCTGTAAGGGATGTCCAACTGAAGTTTAGGTGGTCACACACTATATCCAGCTGTTGTGTGGCCCTAATGATATCTGAGGATGAATAATTCACAAGTTTCTTTTTTTTTTATTGAAATGGTGACTATGTACATTAAAGCAATTCTCAGTGTGGTGTTTTCACATACAATTTGAACCATTTCCAAAAAACTGGTTAACATAACCTTCATGTCATTTTCTTAGTTATTGTGGTAAAACATTCATATTCTACTCTTACAAAGATTCACTTGTACCCTTGTAAGATAAACCTCAGAAGTGATCCCTCCAATCCCCCTCCCCCCCCCCATCCCCCCTCCCCTCTCCCTCCCCTCTTCCCATATTCTTAGGCTGTTATTAGGTTATAGCTTTCATATGAAAGCTATAAATTAATTTCTTAACAAGGGTGTGTATGTTGGATACCTTTTCTTCCATTCTTGTGATACTTTGCTAAGAAGAACATTTTCCAGATCCATCCATGTGAACATGAAGGATGTAAAGTCTCCATCTTTCTTTATGGCTGCATAGTATTCCATGGTATACATATACCACAGTTTGTTGATCCATTCATGGATTGATGGGCACTTGGGCTTCTTCCATGACCTGGAAATTATGAATTGGGCTGTAATAAGCATTCTGATACAAATATCTTTGTTGTAATGTGATTTTTAGTCTTCTGGGTATATACCAAATAAAGGAATTGCAGGGACAAAAGGCAGGTCTATTTTTTGTTCTCTAAGTGTTCTCCAGATGTCTTTCCAAAAGGAATGCATTAGTTTACATTCCCACCAGCAGTGTAGGAATGTTTCCTTTTCTCCACATCCATGCCAGCAGCTCTGGTTTTGGGATTTTGTGATACAGGCTAATCTCACTGGAGTTAGATGATATCTCAAAGTAGTTTTGATCTGCATTTCTCTGATGATTAAGGATGGTGAGCATTTTTTCATGTATCTGTAGGCCATGCGCTGATCTTCTTCAAAGAAATTTCTCAAGTCCCTTGCCCACCCTGAGATGGGATCACTCGTTTTCTTCTTGCTAATATGTTTAAGTTCTCTATGGATTCTGGTTATTAAACCTTTGTCAGAGACATAATCAGTGAAAATCTCCTCCCATTCTGAGGGCTGTCTGCTTGCCTTACTTACCATGTTCTTGGCTGCAGAAGCTCTTTAATTTGGTCATGTCCCAATAGTGTATTTTTGATGTTGCTTCAATTGCCCGGGGTGACCTCCTCATAAAACGTTCACCAAGGACGATTTCTTCAAGTGTTTTCCCAACACTTTCTTCTAGTATTTTTATGGTTTCATGTCTTAAGTTTAAATCTTTAATCCAGTGAGAGTCTAACTTAGTTAATGGTGAAAGGTGTG